AGCTGGGACCACAGGCGCCCGCCACAACGCCCGGCCATTTTTTGGTTGCAGCCGTCATTGTTGTTCGGCAGGTCCGGGCTGGGGATTCGAACCCGCTACCCTAGGTGTACGTGGCTGGCGCCTTAGCCGGTTGAGCCATAGGCGCCGAGCTGAATATAAATGTCTTAACACAACAATTATGAGAAAGGCATGATGGCTATGTTAGCCAGTTGGATGAGAGTTTTCCAAACTGCATATGGAAGCAACACACTGTATCCTATGACAGAATTAATGTACACAATTATGATCTAATAAAAAATAAATTTAAAAAAAGAATTAAAGAGTTGGGCAGCACCTGTGGCTCAGTGGGTAGGGCGCTGGCCCCATATACTGAGGGTGGTGGGTTCAAACCCAGCCCCGGCCAAACTGCAACAAAAAAAATAGCTGGGCGTTGTGGTGGGCACCTGCGATCTCAGCTACTTGGGAGGCTGAGGTAAGAGAATCACCTAAGCCCAGGAGTTGGAGGTTGCTGTGAGTAGTGTGATGCCATGGCACTCTACCAAGAGTGACAAAGTGAGACTGTCTCTTTAAAAAAAAAAAAAAAATTAAAGAGTTGCAGCCAGATGTGGTGGTTCACACCTATAATCCTCTGGAAGCTGAGGCAGGATAATCCCTTTAGTTCAGATGTTTAAAGTTACATGGAGCAATGATGACACCACTGTACCCTAGCCCAGGTGTCTAAGCAAGACTCCATCTCTCCCTCTCTCTTTTTTTTGGGACAGAGTCTCACTCTGTTGCCCTGGATAGAGTGCTGTGGCATCATCATAGTTCAGAGCAACCTCAAACTCTTGAGCTCAGGAATCCTTTTGCTTCAGCCTTCCCAGTAGCTGAGACCATAGGTACATAGTATGAAATCCTGCTAGTTTTTTCAAATTTTTTTTTTTTTTTTTAGAGACAGAGTCTCACTCTGTTACCCTCAGTAGAATGCTGTGGTGTCACAGCTCACAGCAACCTTCAGCTCTTGGGCTTAGGCAATTCTCTTGCCTCAGCCTCCTGGGTAGCGGGGACTATAGGCCCCTGCCACAACACCAGGCTATTTTTGTTGCAGTTTGGCTGGGGCCAGGTTTGAACCCACCACCCTCGGTATATGGGGCTGGCACCCTACTCACTGAGCCACAGGCACCGCCCAGTTTTTTCTATTTTTAATAGAGATGGGATCTCACTCTTGCTCAAGCAATCCACCCACCTCGGCCTCCCAGTGTGCTAGGATTACTGGTGTGAGCCACTGCACCCAGCCATGACTGTATCTCTTAAAGAAAATACAAAATAAAAATGTTGCAATTTGTAACAATTTGCTTGTAGCACATTAGATTTAATTTTTTTTTATCCTCCACTGTATTTATTGTGGTAAAATATATAACAAAATTTGCCATTTGAACCATTTTTAGGTGTATAATTCAGTGGCATGAAGTACATTAACTTTGCTGTGCAAATCTCATCATTTCTAGAACTTTTTCTTCATCCCAAACTGAAACTCTATACCCACTGAACCATAAGTCCCCCTTGCTACCCCCCTAATTCCTGGCAACCTACTCTGTCCCTATGAATTTGCCCATTCTAGGTACTTCCTGTAAGTAGAATTATACTGTATTTGTCCTTTTGTGTCTGGTTTATTTTATCCTACATAACGTTCTCAAGTTTCATCTATATTATAGCATATTTCAGAATTTCATTCCAAGGTTGACTGATAACCTATTATATGTTTATGCCACAGCTTTAAATGTTTATTAAGTTTTAAGATGGCTATAGCACAGAATAATACTATAATGGTGCATATCTCAAGAAGCAGGAACAGTTTCTGTACCTTTTCCATAACTCTTTTAGCTTTTTCTCAGTTTACTTTAATGATAATTTGTTTCTATAATAATGCAAGGTGCTAAATTAACTATATCTTCCCTTAGAGGATAAACACTCTGCAAACAGGAAGTTAATAAAAATTTCATTTACAAACTCCCCTGACTGTTAGTCCTTAACAGTGGACTGCCAAGTTTAAGACTAGCAAGATGGTGGCTGCACTTGATAATGGCAGTGCAAAATAAATGCACTGCAGCAGTTAATGTACAGGACAGCTGCTCAAACAGAAACTTTAACATGAAAACACATTATGAGGCAATCTGGTATTGAAATACATATACTTGCCTGATGTGTCCATATAGGGAGTAGAAACATAGAGAATAGTTTCACTAGGGCAATCAGGTTTCTTTAAGGAAAAACTATTTTTTCTAATTTAGAATGTTTCTTAGAGAAATAAACTAGAAAATCAGGCCCTATGCAAAAAACTAGGAAAATAATTTAGATCACAGAGCAAAATCAGAGATTGATAACATGTGATACATGTACTTCTAGTTAAAAATCATTAAGTGATTTTTAAAATCATATGAGACTGTTGAGTAGCCTTATTCTGCTAAGTGGAGAAGGTCTTTGACCTTCTTAGTTTTCTTTGTGCCTCAAGTACTAGCCTCATGAACTCGTACCATGGTGTTGCCAGGTGTAACTGACGAAGGTTTTTCCCAAGCTAAAATTTTATTTTGAGGGCCACTTGGATTTGAGGAAAGACTGATCTTTAAGTACTAAGGGCTTTAGTCTAATATACTAATCCAGGAATATTCGGGTTTAAGGAAGACTGAATTTCATGCAAAGGACATCTCTGTTCTCACATCTATATTGATCTTTTTTAACCACCTAGCTCATATTATTTTGTTTCTACTGTTTCCTTTCCACAACAATTCCCAATGAAGCAATTTAGATACTCAGTACACTCTTCATTCACCCAGAAGTTTCGTGTTACTCTCTGGAAAAACACTTTCCAAGATTCAGTTAAGAAATAATCTATTTTTGAAATCTTTGTATTTTCTTTCAAACTTGTCACTCCTAAAATGGAAATTGATACTTTTGACACTTTAACGTCATTCATACAACATATGGGAATGAAAGTATTCTTTTCGAAGAATTTAACTGCATGAAGCCATCTTGTAGTTGAAGGAAAGTAGAAGCAAGGCAGAAACGAGACCTCTCCTCCACTTTTCCCTAAAGGTCACAGGGAAAGAATTAAACACTGGGACTAGTTGCGAGAAACCGAGCTGAACAAGCGCTCCCAGGAGGGGGCGCGATGCTTTGAAGTTAACAAGGAGAACGACGGTCGCGGGGTCAGTTAAGGTCTCCGCTTTCGCTGCCGATCCAGACTGTCCACCATCACAAACGTATTGTTTCCCTGAGATGGAATCACCGAAAGTGCTCAAAGCGTCCCAAGCTGGAGTACTCCGAGAAGGTTCGGGCCAGGTTCTCGCCTGCTTGAAACATTACTCCTGCCGCACCAAGCAACTGGCCAGAGTTGGTTCCATTTGACCCTGGAGTCCCTCCGTAGTCTGAAACCGGCCTCACGAACTCAGCCCCTTTTCCGAAGCAGAAGTGTGCCCGGGGGAGAACGTACTTAGAGGATCACATTGCTAAAGTAAAAAAAAAAACTGTGGGCGCCCTTTGTGTAAAACACTTAAGCTCCTGGCTTTAAACCTAGTGTAAAGCTAAGAATGGAATCGGGCATGGCTTCGACTATATCAAGAAGTGCAGGAATGTTGAGACAGTTGTTTGGCGTTGACCACAGACTCCAGGTAGATTTGCCCATCACAAAAATGGCCTCGACACAGACCGACTCGGTACAGTCACGTGCTCACAAACCAGGATGAGACGTGGAATGGCTTCAGATGACGAGCGGATGTTATTATTATTCACTTCCGGGTGAGACGAATCAGGCGCCATCTTGTCTTGTTCGTGAAGAAGTAGAAGCATCGAAAGGGTTGGAGAGCTATTACAGGAACGGTGGGGACAAGGGTGTTCCGGAACCAGAGTAGGTAAGTGATGGAGAACGTTTACACGTGGGCACTCGGCGGACCATAACACCCCTCTTTGTTTCTGCGGCGAAGGTAGCTTCCGTAACAGGCTGCGTATGCTGCTTGGCGCGACCGCAGGAATCTCATTCCTTAAAGCGGCGGCGTCCGCCTACTTGGTAAATCAAAGCGGTACTTTCGCTGAAAAGGAAGTGCCCTGTTAAAGAGCGTGTTCACAACTCCTAATCGTAAGGAAGAGTTTTTCTCTGATGAGAAGGGAGTAATTGTCGGGCTCCCGACCGGCCGTTAATCACTGCGCCTGCGCAATGGAAACCCCCCCTGGGGAGGGGGTGCAGGGGGGCGGGGGCGGGGGCGGCGGGGGCCCCGGACCTGGAGCTTTCACCATGTGCGTGTCCGACTACGCAGGCGCGGTTCCTTAGTTCGTGTTTTTGGTGTATTCTTGTCCAGTGATGGACATAAAGCGTTGAGCTTCCCAGAGGAAACACGTATTCAGTATTTCAGTTGCTTTATATGGTGGGTAGTATCATCATCTGAACAGATTGAGCCCGGGACAAATTTTGTTACTGTATTAAGTTGTAAACATTCTAGTTTAAGATGTTAATTCCCCGTTAATCTGTTTTCCTCTTCTCCAAATAAAATAAACTCGGAATTTCTTACGTTAGTGCAGCAAGGAAGAAACAAACCGGAACTCTAAAAGATTTTACTTGTGGATTTTTTTTGTTAAAGTGTCAAGAGGCAATAAAGTAACAGTAAGTTAGTTTTTTAATGTGTACTTAAGAGCCTCTATATGTATATTTTAAATTTATCAAAATAGACTTTACTTTTTAATACATATATACAACCCCCAACACACACAGTTTTTCGTCTTATTAAATACATTAGTATGCTGTATTTGTTACAGTTAGTGAACCAGTATTGATAAATGATTATTAGTTAAAGTCCATAATTTATTCCTGTTTACTTAATTTTTACCTGAAGTCCTTTTTCTGTTCCAGGAGCCCATTGAGAGTACCACATTATGTTTAGTTGTCATATAGGCTTTTCTTGGTTTTGACTGTTCCTCAGGCTGGCTGGCTTGCTTGCTTGCTTGCTTTTTTCTTTTTTTTCTTGTTGTTGTTGTAGTTTTTGGCCAGGGTGGGGTTTGAACCCACCACCGCTGGTATATAGGGCCAGTGCCCTACTCCTTGAGCCACAGGCCCTGCCTCCTCAGGCTTTCTTTATTTTTATTTATTTTTTTTGAGACAGAGTCTCACTGTTACTGTGGGTAGAGTGCTATGGAGTTATATCTCACAGCAACCTCTACTCCTGGGATCAAGCCATCATCCTGTCTCAGCCTCTGAAGTAGCTGGGACTACAGGCCAGTCTAGTTTTTCTATTTTTAGTAAATACAGGGTCTGGGTCTTGGTCTTGCTCAAGCTGATCTCCAGTTCCTGAGCTCAAGTGATCCGCCCACCTCAGCTTCCCAGAGAGCTAGGATTACAGGCATGAGCCACCATGCCTGGTCTGCTTTTCTTATTTTTGGTGACTATTATAGCTGAATTTTTTCTCCTCCAAAATTCCTACCCTGAATTCCTAACCTGAGTACCTCAGAATGGGACAGTATTGGAGGGTAGGGCCTTTAAAGAGGTAAAATGAGGTGGACCCTAACCCAGTATGACCAGTGTTCCTGTAACGAGATTAGGAACGCAGAAAACCACCTTAACTCATAAGAAGTCAACCTTGTGCAAGCCAAGGAGAGAGGCCTCAAAATGAAACTCAGCTTGCTGAAACTTTGATCTTGGACTTCTAGCCTCCAAAACTGTGTGGAAATAAATTTCCAGTTTAAGTCACCCAGTCTGTGGTACTTCTTACGGCAGCCCTAGCAACTTAATAAATGACCTTGACATTTTTGAGGAGTATTACTGGTCAGGTAATATTGTAGCATGCTGTACTGTTGGAATTTGCCAGATACTTTTCTTGCAAGTGAAAAGGGTGTTCAGGGAGGAAGATCAGAGAAGTGCCCTTTTCATCACATGCTATTGAGGGTATATATTATCAAGTGATTTATCATGTTATTGACCTTGATTACCTGCCTAGGGTGGTGCTTGTCATGTTTCTCCACTGTAAAGTTATTCCCCTCCTCTTTAATACTGTACTCTTTGAAGGGAAGTCACTTTGCAGAATCCACATTTAAAAAGGAGTGGAGAATTGTGCTCCCCCTCTTCTAGGGTGGAATTTTTTTTTTTTTTTTTTTTTTTTTTTGAGACAGAGCCTCTAGCTGTTCCCCTGGGTAGAGTGCCGTGGCTTCACAGCTCGCAGAAACCTCCAACTCCTGGGCTCAAGCGAGTCTCCTGCCTC